CTTAAAATAAAAGCAATATACAACATGGTTTTAAGGCATGAATACAAATGTTTTTAATGTTTAAAATATGAAAGCATGTTCAAATCAATTCATGAAATACCTTATAATTCCATAGTAAGAAAAAAATTCTTAGTTTTTAATGTATTTTGCATTATTGGACATGTATAAAAATGGACAGGAGTTGTTAATAAAATGACTGATGAAATATCCAAACAAACTATGTAAGATGGAATGTGGTAAAAATCAATATAATGTTTGAAATCAGAACAACAAAATAAACTAAGAAAAAACTGTTACCATGACAACTGTGCTTCTTAGAAACACTGGTTAATTTGAAAACAGTTAATAAATTAGTTTTCAATAAATTTTTGGCAGAGAAGGTAATAACTTCCAGTTGTTGAATGTTGGCAACTTCTTGTTTAAAACTTTGTAACCATCTCCAATTGCATATTATCAAGATATTTAATATTACAGGACTTTTGAAAGAAAGAAAGAAAGGAAAAAAAAAAAAAAGTGAAAATCATTGGTTTAGAATGTTGTCTCCAAGAAATTAAAATTGAAGGACATGATATTAATATCAGTTTGACAGCACAAGTTAATAGCTTTAGAAACAAATAGTAAATACTAGCAGCATGGCCCGGCGTTGCCAGTGCTTGATTAAAAAATCATACAACTCATACAGCAATCGCTATCACTTAAAATATTTTTGCCCTTCCTTGCCTTTAAAGGAGTGCCCTTTGCCGTGCTGATGTTGCTACATGTCTTACTTCTTGCCTATCTCACACTGCAAATTTTTTCTAAGCTCTATACTAAACATTAAATCCGTTACGAAAAAAAAAGAACTAAACAAAATGAACACAAAACAATCAGCTTTAAAAAAAAAGGACTCGTAACTGGAAGAACCAAATGAAAAAAGAATGTTAACATACTTTTTCACACCCAACCCAGTTCTGCGGAATCAGAATTAACGTTGAGTTTAAGCAAGCGAATGAGCCAATTGGAGTAAAGTGCCATGCAGATTTAAATTTTTCCCACCTGTGACAAATGCAGCTATCAATTTTCTTTTGCATGCTATCATGCTAGTTAACATTCACGTCAGTCAGCTGTTGGCTCTTGTGCTGGCCAATAGAAAAATGGCTGCAATCTACATGAAAACTGCCGTAGAAGCATGAAAAAAAATCGATTATTTCCACTATCGATGGGAGTTGGGAAATGCAAAGTCAGTCTTGGCCTTCCCGCTAACTTGGAGCATGTGCATGTAAATTTTGGTGCAAATCCATCGAAAATTGCGGCTGTGCATTCCTTACACACACACACTGCCTTATATATATATATATATATATATATATATATATATGCAACTGGAATTTGTAAACAGGGATCATATCATTCATATACAGGTTTGGGGTTGATGTATCTTATTTATATTGTTTGCGATGATGTATTCTTGCCATATAAATCATTAACCTCAATATTTGTTTTTTGTATGAATGATTCATGAATTTATAAATTATAATTACCTTTTTAATTGAAATTATATATATATATATATATATATATATATATATATATATATATATATATATATATATATATATATTCTGGCTGGGTGCGATACCCTTAAACATGCTTTTTTAAAAAGTGCTCTTTCTATATATATATATTGAGCACTTTTTTATTATTTTAGCTGTTGGTAAGGAGAGCTTTACCTTTGATTGTGGTAGATGCTATTTTCAGTACCCTAATTATTTTATATTCAATGTTTTGGGGTTTTTTTTTGTTTTTTTTTTTTTTTTTTTAAGCATTTCACCCCAAGCAAGTCAGAAGTGCCATTATCACACAGGGGGTCATGGAGAGTGAAAATGAGAGAAAAGTGTGGGTGTAGGGGGGATTGAAGAAAGAAAAAAAAAGAACAGGTATCATCGCAACAAAACATGGTGATTGATGTTGCATTTAGGTTTTTGAATGATTGTAGTTATCAGGGAAGCAAGTGAGAGGAATGGAGTTCCAATATGGAGAAGTGCGAGGAAAGAAACTGTTAGAAGGGTGGTTACATTTAACTATTTCAACAGTAAAAATTTTGGACCTAGATGCCAATCTAGTAGTACACTTAAATTCATGTAGTCAGGGCACCAGGGAAAAAATGCTTATCAGTGCAGTAGCCATGAAAATATATGTAGAAAAGACAGAGGGAAGCCACATCACGTCTGTGAGAGAGCGGCTGAAATCAAGAAGCTAATTCAGTACCGATTACATTACAGATCCTACTTTAGATTTTTTTGAGAATATTGCAGTAAGGGAAGGTAGGGGAAAATTTTATGGATAAAACTTTAACTACGCAACCAGTAATAAAAATCACAGAAATGCAATCTATGTTGTTATTTATTTAATCATCATCATCATTTAATAGTAATAAAATTATATATATATTTAAAGTAATAATAATAGTAATAAAAGTAATAGACAGATACACACATACATATATATAAACTTACATAGTTACAAACCTAATATATATTTTTCAGTGTTTGATGCAAAATAAATGTATTTTTAAGACTATATAAACTTATTTTTATGATGACATTTAAGTATAAATTCTGGTTCAATAACTGGCTTGTATTTTTGTACTTAATTATTTTAATTTTTTCTTCCAGACGTAGTTTGCATCTGTTTTATATATATATATATATATATATATATATATATATATATATATATATATATATATATATATATATATAAAAAAAATATAGTCTTAAGGTGTGCTATATTTATGGATAGGCGTGTGTAAATATAAAAAGAACATATGCTATATGCAATCGTGGCCTGACGATTGTATATTTCATGAAACAGACTGTCGCCTAAGTGTTGCCTATGTTCACTTTTATATATATATATATATATATATATATATATATATATATATATATATATATATAAATGAATTAAGATCAAATATAGATAGGAATGCAAGAGAATGATACGATAAGGGACAAATAGGAAATCTTTATAAATCTGACATGCTTTGCTTTTATTAACACTTGAGATGTGGAGGTTTATTTTCCACAAGGGTCGGCCAGGTGAAGGTGAGAGGTGGAGCATGTCACAATGTTTACTCATTCCCCCACAAGAATGAGATGCGACACAAAGTCGGATTAATGTGGGAATCCGAGCTCTCTTGGTGGAAGAAATCGGTTGTGTTTATGTCAGCTGCTGTTAACATCGTAGCTGGTTGGCAATATCTTTTGGTTGAGGACTAAAAATTAACTTCCACATGGGTTTCATTTGGACACCATGTGTATTTAAAGTAGTTTCCGGTTATTATTTTAGTTAGGAGGACTTGTGTATGTTTAGGCTTCATTTGTTTACTTTTTGTGTATCATTCTCTGAAAAAAAAAAAAAAAAAAAAAAAAACGCTGAGTCACCAGAACTTAATGGCATTCGGATGTTTGAGTAGCCGGCAGTAACTTCTGGCCGGGTGCGATACCCTTAACCATGCTTTCAAATTGATTTTGTGCAAAAACTATTGTTTTTTTTCCAATTTTTGGCACTGTCAGAACCACCGCCATGTAATTTTATGCAGTCCTGTGAAGTTTTGTTGAAATCGGTTAAAAAATGTAGGAAATACGATCCCATATATAAACGTACAGACACACACACACAATCTGCGTTTTATAAGTAAGATTAAGGAAATGGTTTTGTCATCAATACCAAATGAAATAATATCTATAGAAATTGGACAAACAACCATAGTATACACATTGAACAACATAAAAAAAACTATTACTGAAATTACATCATACCCCCATAAAAACTTAGAAGAGCTTGGAAAGACCTGCAGCATTTTTGTGAGTTAAAAAAAGGACAAGGAGGTTCGGAGAGGACTGATAACAGTTATTTATAAAGTTGTTGAAGATGAGAAATCACACTGGATTTGCAGTATATATTGAGCTTATTGAACCAATCAGACTGTTAAGTGATCAGTTCAATAAGGTCAAATTGGCAACTGATCTACAATCTGTTAACTGGAGCAAGAAATGACTTAATAATTTTAACATCCCCAAAATGAAATTACTCTATTAATCATCTTAGAGAATCCTTTTTGCTTTCCATCAGTATGCCTGATGCTAACCTCCAGGAAAGTGACTAATTATGCCTAATGTTTTCTGCTGACATGAAATATAAATATTATATAGATCTGTTGTTAGGAAAGCTGGTTCACTGTGTTGTGCTAGATAATCTTTCTCACCAGAATCTATCTTAATATATCTATAATCGACCATGCATTGAATATTGCTGCTATACCTGATCTGGTGCTTCTACTGTGTATTTAGGGATTCTTGATAAAATCCAAAAAATCTGCAATGTTTTGGCATCTCAGCTTCAGTCACTTTCCCACTGCCATAACTGTGTCTTTTCTATAAATATTTTCATGGTAATTTTTCTGATGAGCTTTCCTCTTTAGTCAGCTAGGTCCCATCATATTAAAATCAAAATTGCTAGATATAACAGTAAGTTGGATGGTTACAATTTCTTTTCTCACACTTCTTGCTTGTGGAAATCTTTTCTTGCTTTTCAATAAACTTTGATCCTTAGAAATTTAAATGCAATTATCTTCTATCTTAATTTCTGTTCTTTTATTGTTATCTCTCCTTAATGTTTTTCTTATATTGTTTCACACTCAATAGCCCCTTACACATTAGTGACTTTATTACTTAGGATAAAATGATTAAAAAATAAAATAAATAAAAGTCAAAACAACTCTGATGATGATCGATTAAAAATAAATCTATCTGTGAACAAATCAATGAAATTTGTACATATGAAAAATTGTTAAAAATGTAAAATATAGTGATTTGATGTACAATGTACAACTGATTTTTAACTTTCAATTTTTCAAGTTCACTACAGCAATTCTAAGTAGCAAGTTTACCATGATAATGATTTTAGAATTAAGCACAGCATATTCATACTTAATTAAAACAAGAAAACCAACTTACCTTATGCCAAATATCTTCAAACGTTTCAACTCCTTCACTCACTTTTTTTAAGCATCTTTCGATCTCACCTGACAAAAGAAAATTGAAAATTAGATAGCTAAATCAATTTATCTTTTAATTATTTATGTGAAGTCCAAACCAAAAATAACTTTTGTAACTGTTATCCCATTTGATAAATATTTTTGGGACCTAACAATTTTTGTGTTTTTTGATTGACCATAAAGTCTGGATATTTTAAGGTGGTATTCAATCAATTTGGACCATAACTTATCCTCATTACCTAATTTTTTTATTGATTTGTTGAATTTTTGTATTTCAGAAATCAATTTATATTCATTGATTTTTCTTTTCTGAAATGTATTTTTTCTTTGTAGATATTCTGATACATGATAACAATCCCACTCCCTACACTGAAGTAGTGATGAAAATGCCATGATTTTTAGCTATATATTTTACTGCTTTTATGTGCCTTTGTGATAGTGCTATCAGCTTATTCCTTATACCTTTGAGCATGTAAGCAAGTAGTACATTGTGTGTGTGTGTGTGTATATATATATATATATATATATATATATATATATATATATATATATATATGAATAAAAAATGACAAGAGGAAAACTAGTAATTGCTGACGCGTTTCGTCCAATGTGGACTTTATCAAAGCAAAATACGAAATGAATTTAATTGAACAAGGTAACTAATAAAAACAAAAACAGAATGTTCCTAGCAACTGGGTCGTAGAAAAACACTATTTTCATATTGTTAACTGAAAATAACGTCAATATTTGTCATGTGGAGAATATTGTCATATCTGTGTTGATGTAGTCAACCATTTTCTTTTGATTTTATGAATCTGTTCTGTACATTTGTTTGTGAGAGCAGTAATTTTGTTAAGAAAGGTGAAATGGGGAAAAAACCTGGGCGTAGATTAATATATATATATATATATATATATATATATATATTTACAAGCTGCTTGCTAACATTCTCCACATGAGGGAGGTTCCATTTAACATCTGATTAAAAATTAGTTATCTAATAAAAGGGATTTAAGAGTAAATCAAAAATCTCTAGCAGAAAAAAAAATAAAGCAATATTTAGACTCAGAATAATTTAACACTTGTCATTCATTGAGTCATTGCTGAGTGTACATACAGTTTGCCAAATATTTGAGAACACATTTTTAGCAAGACATAAATAGAAGACAACCTATTGTAATGTTATGCAGCAGATGGCAAATTCTAACATTCTAAATTCTCTAATGTATTAAAAAAGTCTTAATATAACAGCTTTCAATCTGACACAGGAAATGTAAACTCAGCATCAACCATTGTCTCAGTTTTTGAAAGTAACTAAGTCATTCATGACTAAATTCAGGAATGAGCTGGAGTCCTCTGGCAGGAACAAGTATTCTATAGCTAAGAGAAAGAAGCATCCTAAACATAATCAACCATGGCCACAGTCAAGATGATAATCATCATCCAGCAATTCAAGTTGTCAAAGTGCACTCTGACATCGAGTACAAATCCTACACAATAAGGGCAGTTCATGCCCAGCAAGATCTAGAAAACTGTGTGATCTGATCAAATCACTTGCTGATCAAGCTCAAGTACCCCAACATGTGGCTTTTCTCAGATAAAAAAAATTCATGTCCTCTATGGTGTCCTAGGGATTGTAAGCAATGATGGTCATGTCAACCAATTTCTCCTCAAAAGGGTCTCAGGGTCAATATCACTTTAAACCAAATGTACTGGATATGGTGGTCAACCACTGAATTGAGATAGTGTCCCTAGGGAGACAATACATGTTCCAGAAAGACACTACTCCCTTCAACATGAACTAAGATTGGCTGGCTAAGAACTTTCACAATCATGCTCTCCACCACCAACATGATGCATTCTCTCTACTTATTTGAATCCTCTGAACTGCTACAGCTGAAGTGTCACCAAGTGGGAGACCAACAAGTGACACAATAATACCAAGGACAATAACTACCTAACCTGGGCATGTAGTTGCTTCCAAGGATACATAACGATAGACAAAATTATTTCAATCAAAGTAATAAAAAGCATTTTAGACACAATAAGCAAATATTATCTGGCTAGGGCTTGATAATTCTGGGTTTCCAAACAAAAGTTCCACTCACTTCTCTCTCTCTACACTTTTATAAAGGTATTCTTTTGAAAATTTCTTTCGGAATGTTGAGAGGAGGGGAGATAGACTACTCTTTTAAAGGCAACTCAATACTGTAACTTGTTTAACAGGTTTTAATTGAAGAAAAAAAAAATTGAAATATTTTAATTCCTAGTACCATTCAAGAAGACATTAAGACATGTAATTTCTTTTCATGTCCACCACAAGAAATTAACTAGAAAAGGGAAAGGTGAAGAGTGAATTTTAAATACAACTGCAAACATCTTGATATCAATTACTCAGATTTCAAATGATATAGTGATAAAATGCATAAGATATCAGACATTTGGTTCAATTACAAGATTCTAGTGGATACAAAAACTAAAATAAAGCAGCATAAACCTTCATTTTCTCGAGTGAAATATCTTAACATTAAATAATCTCAATAATATTCTTGTATTAATACTTTGATTGGATGTAACAGCTTTACTGCTACTGTCTAGGCAGTTAAGGTAATTATGGGAGAATAATTTGCTCAACTGCTTACTCACTCATTTCATCAACCATCAATGACATGTCAATGACAACTTAATATCTGGTAATGGGACAGATGCCTTCCCATAGAATATTAGCTGAAATTTCAACTAATTTCCTTTTCTGTGCTGCTATCACACATCACCTGGCACTTCCAGTAGCTTTTTTATTAATTCATCTAGCTAAAATATTTTTGAAAATTTAATATTTAAGCAAGGAAGATTTTATACTTAAATCACAGGAGATTTCTCTAAATTTTGTTTTAGCTAGTTCCATTAATTTCAAAAGATTTAAAGTATTTTTATTTTAATATTGCATAAGCTTATATCATTAATTCTTTTTAGTAAAAAATGCCAAATTTATGTTACAAACAATTGTGGATTAATATTAAGATAAACTTGTGTGACAAGTATCATGTTTAGATCATTAATACTAGAAATATTTCTGCTATAATCTGATACAATAAAATTAAGTCAAAGAAAAACAAATCCTTCTAAAAATACATTTTATAACACTTATAAATAAAAATATTCAAAACCCAGAGATGAACATGCAAAATAATAGAAATTCATATGTACTCAAACTTATCTAAAATATTTGTTTTACACATTTCCAATCTTAAATCTGGAGAGATCTACTGTTCGGTTAAGCATTAAAATTATTACTATCTTACATGGACAAATATAAAAATATTCAACCAACAAGGATTTATATAGGATAACTTACAAGATGAATCAGCCTTGTGCAAACAGATGAAAGTTTGAATGTTACACTTAGCTATTTGTAGTATTCTGTTTATGTTATTAAACAAACTCTTAATTGCACTAGAATACTATTAAATACATTCAATTTTATAATTTTAACTGATAGCAATGAACTTATATTAAATAATTTGATAAAATGCATAGGTTAAATTTGAAATCAATTAAAGATTGTTACTTCATATTAATTTATAAATTACTCAAAAATGTAAGAATTCACAATTTCTTCAAGTGAAAGCTGAAAAAGTAAATTAAAATAAAACTAATTCACATGCAACTATTGCACATAAAATAGTTCTCAAATCTAATTTGAGAGAGGAAAAAAAATTGAATCATAGTTTCAAGTAAACTGTACCTAATCATATATTGCATCAAATAAACAGTAATTAAAGTTTAACCTATTAACTGCATAAGAATTCTTGTCATAACAGTTCTATAGCATGACTGAAATCAATTAATAGGTAAACGAACATTTTTATGACTTAAATTTCAAATATTTCCTGAAATTATATTACCAGGTCTTATTTTCAAGTTTTAATGAACACTTACATTATAACTTAATGAATATTGAAATACAATACATTATAATTTTTAAGGGAACAATAATAACTGCCTTCAAATTAATCAATTTACCATATTTAAATCCTAATAAATAAGAGAAGGTATGAAGATTATATCCAAATCTGAAATATGACTACAGAAGGCCAAGAGTTACCTGAAAAGTTACCATGACAGGAACTGATAATTTGAACTGAATGAATATTACTTCATTACTGAAGTTGTTTGCTTTTTCATCAATAAGATTATCTAGCAACAATACAAAAGATCTAATATCAATTACACAATGTTTAGGTAAAAAAGAAGAAAAAAATCTTCAAGTTCAAAGCTTATAAAATATACACACAAAAAGATAAAAGTTGAAATATATCCAAGTACAATCTCTTGTCAGTTTGCTTTTATGACACTGGAAAATATTTAGTGTATTTACAGCTTTGTAGCTAATAAAATTGTCAATATCACCAACATATATATATATATATATATATATATATATATATATATATATATATACACACACACTTATGACACCTACAATATTAAAATGTATCATCATCAGAAAAAAAAAAAATAAAAATAAATAAACACCTTAATTACCAAAAAGGCTTATGACAAAGACTTTCAACAACAAATAAGAACAATAGAGAGGAGAATATTTTAAACAAATTTCATCATCCAGACAGTATTATGGTAGGCACAATTTTTTTTAATCCAGGAAAAGTTTTTTTTTTTTTATAGACATATCCAAAATCTAGCAAGAAAAAAAAAAACAAACATATCTACTCATTTACAAGTACATAGTAAGATGATCAGGATTAAAAACACCCCAGAAAAATGATATATTAATTTTAAGATATTTTTAGGTTTGTAAAATTCTATGGGTCATCTAACACATAAATTACTCTAAGAAATAGTGACAAATTATATTGGACAATACTGAGAAAATATAAAATGTTGAGTGGTTGTAGTTTTATACTATGATTTAAAAAAAAAATTTTCACATATGTCAGCTGCAATGTATTCATATACATATTTTGCGTGTGTGTAACACTCTTCATAGAGCATGTAGGTATGATTCT